GAGCATGACAGATGCTAAAATTGTCTATGCTTGCATGGTTCTACAAGCAGTAAATTATCCACATCTCATTTTGAGCCACAAGAGGTCCTAAGATATTCTTGTTCTGGCCATCAAATACAAATAGTACAATGATATGACAAAATTTGTCTCTATGAACTCTTCCCAGAGCAGTAGTTTCTAATGGTTTGCCCACACCACCAAACCTGGTGTGAATACTAGAACGGCCTAATCAACTATCTGACATCTGCCACACTAAAAACAGATTTCATTTTTCAGTAAGATAAAACTTGCAAGATATTTTTTTTAAAAAAACTGGATCTTTTAATATGTAACTAATAGCTTAATTTTCATAATAATTATATGAGGTGGGGTAATCAAAGAAAACAGTAAGGAAATAAGTAGCATAATTATTGTACTTACTTTGAGAGACTCTTACTAGCTCAGTGACACTGAAAACACCTGATGTGACAAAACTGTCTTGGAAGCCCAAATGTCCTAAAAAATACAAGAAAGATTTTGTTATCCTTAAGCACTTAATGATAATATTCTCAAATAAATCAGTATCAGTTTTAATGTGGAAGAAACTGAATATTTAATTTTTCACTTATCATTAATTGCTATTTTGCTAGACTGATACATGTTGAGAATTTAGAGAATTTAATCCCATAGATTAGCCATGAGAATCATACTTGTTAAAACACCAACCCTGGAAACCTGAAAGAAAAGAAGGTCATTTTAATAAATATTTACTTTACCTTACCATAATTACTTAACTACTGAAATTAAATCACTATACCTAGCAATGGGATAACTCATTTTAAATATTATTTTTCATAGAAATATTTAGTCAGGAATATTCATTAATATGTTCAAAGCAGATTATAAGTATGTATTCTTTTTTTTCAGAAGTTGCATTAAGGAAATCTTAAAAGAACAGCTGTTTTAAAAGGTTTTGAAAATATTCTCAAAAGAAAAGGAAAGAAAAAGGAAATCCCTTAAATGAATTTTGCAAAAAGGTAACACAATCTTTACATAAGAAAGCTTCAGTCCTCCAAAGCTCTTTCAGAGATAAAGGTGTAAAGTTGTTTGTTGTTATTATAAAAGCATTTTACATCAAATGTTATCTTTCTTTATGTAGCCAATTGTATTTATTTTTCAAGATTATATAGGTGCCCATGTCACAAGTGACTTTGGGCAGTGTATTACAATGTACTACAAAATTTAAAAAAACAACCATTCATAAATAACAAATATGATGATGTTTAAAAATGTTTAAAAATATAAAATGCAGCTAAAAATAATTGGTGAAGGGAGCTTAATAATAACTGTGATGTCTTACTAGTTTGCCAGTTCCCTGGTGTACCTAAGCCTAATGGCACAACCAGGTCTTGAGAGACTTTTGGAAAGTCAAGAGTGATGATACCAGCCTAACATAAGGGGGAAGACATTCAACAACATGGGTGCCACAGCCAAGAAGGCCTGCTGCTTTGGGTCCACCAAATGTAACTCTTTAAATGACGGAACCTGCAACTTGCCCTCTATTTTGAATCTGGTAAGGTGGAGAAATGTAATTCTATAAATTTGTAATTGTATACATATAATTGTATAAATTTAACAGCTTCAACCTCAAACTGTCTACCATGGACCTCACCATGGGTGAGGTCCTTAAAGGGGACATGCATATGCGCACCAGCGTGCCTTCTGTCCCTGTCTTACTGTCCCCATTTATTTGTATTTACTTCCTTTGTTCCTGTTTATGTTCATACTTATACTTGTTATCTTGTACATGTTTGACAAACAAATAAATAAAATAAAAATAAAAAATTGGGAAATGGCAGTCCCTCTAATAACCTGGCTCTGCAGGATTATTTTGAAGGCCATTACTTTGAAGGCCCAAATGTCAAAACCAGTAGGATATCCTGGGTTTAAGTCCTATGAACCACCTCTGTTATGAGCCACAATTCAGAATCTGAGTTTGACAATGTAGCTCCAGCTGAACCTGTGAATTGGCAGCTTCAGAAATCATTAATCCAGGATTCATTTGAGACTAAGTATCCCCAGGCATCTCCTGTTGAACAGTCAAATGATGAGGCACCGTCCCGAGGCCCTCCCCATCTTCCCCCCATTAAGCAGAGCAATGCTCCTCAATGAGGCTCTTCACTAAAGGCAAACAGTAAGAAATGAATAATTGCAGCCAGGTAGCTGCAGATAGATTTATGTAGCTGCTTTGCCTTTAAGAAAACAGTTGTTTTCTTTGTTGGAAATCACTAGTTTGTGATGTTTATTCTTCCATTTCCTAACATGACTTACTTTAATCTAAAGTATTGGATTGACTCACTATATGACTTTAACTCCTGGAACAAATTTGGACCACTCTATTATTAATTAAATTCAAGCTGACTTATTCAGGCAAGCTCTCTTTGCACAGATCTTGCAATCTTGTCTACCGTTATCTACTTAGTCCCATAGCAATTGTATCTTCATGTGTAGGTCTGCAAACCTCAGAGAGAGTAATCTCTATCTTAGGCTAAGACAGCTTGATCATATATTATTAAGTTCAAGTCATGAATATTTTCTTGTGACCAAACATAATTTGAGGTAATGTGTAAACTCTATCCAAATCTATAGATTAAGCAAAATAACCTCCATCAAAATCACAACTCAGTAATTCATTTGTTACGTTATGTGTTTATTATAAAAAATTATGCCAAGCTTCCTCTTTTAAATAGAGAAACACAAGTATAAACATCAAAATAACTCAGAGGGAAAATAAAACTGAAGTACATTTTCTTCTTACTTACACACAAAGTCCTATCACATATTAATTGCCGTGCCTCCTGGGAGATTATGGGTATATATAATCATGTATTTTCTCACAATACCTATAAACTAGATACCGTATTTGCCGGCGTATAAGACGACTTTTTTGCCCCGAAAAACATGCCTCCAAGTGGGGGGGTCGTCTTATACGCCGGTATATCCACTGCCGGCTTTCGGATGCTTGTTGGACGCAGCGAAGGCGCCTCTGGCTTCCCGGATCCCCTGCGTCGCTTCCGCTTCATCCCGCTCGCCTCGCTCCGCCCGAGGCTGCAGCCTTCCTGCTCTTCCCACGGCCCCTGGCACTCCGCCCTGCCGCTGCAGCCCCGGGGATTTCTGGAGGGCGTTTCTGGTGGTGGTGGGGGGTCGTCTTATACGCCGGGTCGTCTTATACGCCGGCAAATACGGTACCTATGACATTATTTACAGGGACACTTTGAAAGAATAACTGAAACAACAGCAATATGCCAGAACAGGGTGAAAAAGGAAAAAAAAAAACAGTGTAAAAACACAGCTGGAAATGAGATGGTATTATTAAGGAATGGGGTTTTCAGCCTGTCCACTCAACTGCACTCAAACTCAGTGTTGCCAACTAGAATAATTGTCAATATATAAAAGTAAAATATGGAATAACATTGTTGTAAGATGTGAGAATGACTTTGTGGCACAGAAGAGCCTCAGATTATGCAAAAGTCAGATAAGAGACAGCTGAGCCCGCAGAACAAATAAAGTATGACAAACATCTAAGAAGGGATTATCTCTAGTTTCTTGGACTTTAAAGGCAAGGTGAGGGAGATGTAGTTTCAGACTTGCAAGATTATGTTAATGTAACCTTAAAATAAGGATAGAGATGGTACTAGATGTGCGTCTCATCTGGATTAATTTGCAAGGCTGACAATTATATATTTTTTCTTGTATACTACATAAGTTAAGACTAAACCACTGCCTGGCTTGGAAATTATCACTGTGACATTAATTCTGTGATATTCATGTGTCAGATTAAGATTCATAAATGGGTGATGAAAGTTTTGTTCACATATATTATCAATATATGTTTAATAGATGGCCTAGTGCATCATGTGCTGGCCACGCCCACACCTGGTTTAGTGAAGGGGAAAAAGTCCCAATACATCATGTGATGCCACCGTGACGACGCGAGTTTGACACCCCTGGCCTAGTGGAACAGTTAATTTGGACAAACATACCATAATTTGCTCTATGTACAGTATAAAGATAAATATACTTTCAGATATCATTAAATCTACTCGAATCTGTTTAACAGTGTAAACAGATAGTTTAGGTCAGACTAATTTGTTTCTTATTTAAAAAATAAAAAGTATGCCAATAAAATTCTTTTGTACTTGATGACAGAATGGCTGTTTAGTTTAATAACCTTTTTTTTTTACTGAAATACAGTAGTTATCTCTCATTCCTTTCCCATTTTTATTCTGTCAAACTATCATCAACCTTTCATTTCTCTTGGAAGCTGGCAGAAGCTGGCTTTTTCCTGCTTTCAATCAACCTTCAGTTGCTGTTTTTTGAAACACAGATCCAAAATTCTTTTAAGACAGCACTAAAACATGTCTAAAAATCTTTTGTGTGTTTTTCCGAAAAGGACACTTAAAATTGTGTTTAGAAAGAGCCAGAATAAATCTGATGCTTTGGAAAGCATCAGATATTATGCAAGTAAATGCCTACACAAAAGACACATGTCTAATCCACCTCAGAAACTTTAAGATGTGAGGACTTCAATTCCCAGAATTCCGCAGTCAAAAAGAACTGGTGTTGCTGTGGTCGAGAAGTACTAATCTACTCTATTTCCCTGAAAATACAACCTGGTGCCTTTTTTTGGTGGAAAAAAATATGTCAGGGTCTTATTTTCGGGGAAATATGGTAATCTCTCTGAAGTAGCAAGGAAGAGGAGGATGGTGATGAGAAGGAAGGAAATGTACTTATAGCAGACCGGAGTGTTAATAAAGCTAGGCATATCTATCTGTTGAACATAGATAAATTATTATCACTTCATGACAGAGCTGAAATAAAGACAGTCATCCTAAACTGTAATACAGGTAGTCCTCGACTTACAACAGTTCATTTAGTGACCGTTCAAAGTTACAATGGCACAGAAGAAGTGAGTTTTTTCACACTTACAACCAATGCAGCATCCCTGTGGTCACATGATAAAAATTAGAATGCTTGGTCAACTGCTGCATATTTACAATGGTTGCTGTGTCCCAGGGTCATGTGATCACCTTTTGCAGCATACTGACAAGCTAAGTCAATGGGGAAGCCAGGTTCACTTAACAACTGGGTTACTAACTCAAGAACTGCAATGATTCACTTAGTATTGATGGCAAGAAAAGTCGTAAAATAGGGCAAAACTCTTTTTAACAAATGTCTCACTTTGCAACATAAATTTTGGGCTCAAATGTGGTTGTAAGTCGAGGACTATCTGTACTGTAAAACTGTAATAGGGAATCAGGACAGCTTTTAAATTTGTCTCTAGACTGCCCCAAAAAGTCTTAAAGAGAAGAGCCTACAAAACATATCAAAGTTGTCACCATAAGTTACAATCCTACAAGGCTAGTGTGCATTTAAGTCCATGCAACTTGAAGTTGTTAGCTTCCCACTCAGTTGACTGAAAAACAGCTTAAGATAACCCAGAGATGCTCTCTTCAGTTTGGTTGTTTGCTTGCAGATGTTTTGATACCAGGTTCTTAATAGCCAAAGAAAATAATTAAAATTGAAACTTTAAAAGATGAAATAAGACGAGTAGCTTAAATAAGTTACTATTGCTATAATATTAAAAATGAAAAATTTGGAGTGAAATAAAAATTAACAATTTATTCATAGCACAGATACCCTTTAAGGATCTGCAGAACAAAAAACAACAGATGCCTCGTTAGCATTTTTAGCTTTTGCACATTTCTAATCCAAAGAAAAATGTTCAGAGCAGAATCATAATTATTAATAAACATTTCCATTAGTCAGAGTAGATTATGACATACTCTTCAAATTCCTTTCAAAATAATTGAAATGGAATCTATAGATGATTAATCATTTTGGAATAGTTATGGCCTCACAAAAAGACAGAGAAATTCTACCCTAAGAACATAATAAAGAAATATTCTTTTAAAACCATTGCTGCCATAGTTTTGTTGGCCGGTTTTAACCAGCCCCACAACTGCATCTGTAATATATGAAATAACAATGGCGACTTTTTAGATTCAGTTTTAGAATCTTCACCTCACCTCAGTGATTCAAGATAGCACTAGGCATACAAAAGATATTTATGACCAGAGGTGGGATTCTACTGGTTCGGGCTGGTTCTAGAGAACCAGTTGTTACGATTCTGCGCAGTTTGGAGAACTGGCAAATCGTGCCCCTGGCTGGCCCCGCCCTCCTCTGCTCACCCCTCCGCTCCCCTCCCCGCCCAGTCACTCCTGTGCCAGGATCCCCCTTGCTGTCTTACTGCTTTGCCCAGGAGGCAACAAGGGGCACATGGGGTGGGTGGGTGCTGCGCCCCCTGCGCTCCATTTTTGGGCTTTCTGGGCCTCAGGGAAGCTTCCTGGGAGCAAACCCCTCCCCCAAGGAGGCTTACCTGAGGGTCCAGGAGGCAAAAACAAAACAACCAGAGCATTGGGGGGGGGGTTGCTGCCAAAAAAAGAAGCCACGCCCACCCAGTTACATGACCACACCCACCTAGCCATGCCCACAGAACCAGTTGTTTAAAAATTTGAATCCACCCCTGCTTGTGACTTACGGCTCAGATAGAAAAGGAAAACAGTAATTATTAAAATAATAAGTAGGGCTCCACCTATGGTTTCTACGCTAACCCTCTTACCTAATTAATCCAGATGGAAGGACAAGTGCTCTTTTTATGTAACCTATTCAGGAACATTTGCTGGTATAGTTTAGAAAGCCAGAGATAAAGGGAGCCAATGGGCAATTATTTTCAAATAATTTTTTCACCTAAATGCTCCATTTGTCAATTAGGGGGTTATTTAATTGAGTTAAGACAGACAATGGATTAAATTCAGTCAACCAAATATTACAATGCATTATTTCTTCTTCTTGTTACCAAAATAAAAATAGACAACCCATAACTATTGTGACCAGAATCATTTCCAAGGGATTTACGTAGTTCCAAAAAGTAAATTTTTGAAAAGAAAGAAAATACGTTTCTTGTAAAAGAAAAGTCTTATAGAAGAAAATTCTTTAGGAATTCTTTAGAATGAAAAAGATCATATCACTATGGCACAATTCAGGTGAGCATTTATTACAGATTTAATATTTACCGTCAACACCTTGAAACCACTCATTCATCAATCCAATTCTCTTTCTCTGTTTCCCTCTCTCTCTTACACACACACACACACACACACACACACACACACACACACACACACAAACTTGCATCTAATGGCTTAATGTTTGTTATGGCATGCCATGTACTTTTAAGTTTATTTAGTTACCTTGCACCATGAATTAGTTAGTACTAGTATTTCAGGAAGACTGATGAAAAAAACTATAAATAAAATTATATATATGTAAAAAAGATTGATGATTTATATGTCATTAAGTTGTGGTTAATTTTTAGCAAACACATAGATTTTTTTCCAGGATGATCTGTCCCAAGCTGGTCTTCCCACAGTGTATTACATTCTGCTGAAATTGAGTCCATCCACCTGTCTGATGATCAACTTCCTATTCTCTTTCCTTCCATCTTTCCCAGCATTATAGATTTTGAAAGAGAGACAAATCTTTACAGAATAGGTCCAAAATATTATAATTTGAGCCGAGTTATTTATGCCTTAGATGAGAACTTCGGAATGATTTGTCTGATGATCCATTGGTTTGGGGTTGTTGTTTGTTTGGGGGAATGCTTTGTTATTTTCAGAAGTCTTCATTAACTTCCAAGTTTAAAAGTGTTAATACATTTTATAACTTGCTTCCATAGTCCAACTTTTGCTCTTATAGAATGTCACAGGGTAAAAACACTACTTGCATGATTCTGTTCTTTGCAAGAATAGACATATTATAGAATCTGAAATGCTATTGTTCCCAGACAAACTACTACAATTGTGAACAAAGCTTTACATTCCAGCTTTTATGGTCTTCTCCTAGTATAGGTTTACAGTCATCCTATAAATTATCTGGAAGAAAAATTAAGATTAATTAAACTCATCCTTTGAAGGAACATAGTTCTTCAATCAGTAGTTGTGGAAACTGTAACCATAGGGACTTAGCAGAAGCCATGATAACATCAAGTTATATAGCATGTATGGCATAAATACACTGTTACATATTTGCATTATTTATATTATGACATGGGCAATGCATTTTCCTTTCCTTGATGTTCATAATAATCACATTTTTAGAAGGATATTTGACAAATACATAGAAAGTAGCTCCAACAGATATGTTTAACAACAGGTGCTGATACTAAGAGTTGGTGACTTCGCTCTCTTATATTTTCTTTAATCAGCTGTTTAGTTATTATGAACAGCAAATTCTAAGTAAATGGGTCATTTAAAAACATTCACATATCTAAAGGTTAATAATAAAAACAGTCTACAATATTCAATAAGGAAGTCTATATCATATAGTGAATTGATTCAGGTTGAGAATAATAATAAGTTATCAGCTGAATTAATTTACTGCAGAATGAAAGCCTATTTGTTGAAGATTATGGATTATGTTAGTTCAGTGCAAGATTGGTAGATATACTCCACCTTTTTTAGCTAGGCCTTCTGTGTCTAATTGAGAACCTGAATCTGGGTCTCCCTGCTCCTAATCTATCACTTGAATCACATTCACTCATTTGTGTGTGTGTGTGTGTTTGTGTGTAAGTAACAAATTTGCAACAATACAATTATTTGGTAACCATATTTACAAAAGCTAAATGAAGAGTAAGAAAGTATTGCTGAGCACCATTGTCAAACCAAGTACAAATTATTGATGAAATATGACAGGCCTGTCAAACTTGTGGCCCACAGGCCATATATGGCCTGCACAGGCCACGCCCACCCCAGCTTCACAAAAAACATCCCGATATATTGTGTTACAGCCCAATATGTCACAATATGGCCCTCAATGCGATCAGGTTTGACACCCCTGAAATATTAGATTAGAGTTCAAATGTTATTAGTGCATTTTTGCATGTGGTTGCTTACCAACTCGATGGCAAATAACATTTAGATCTACCAGAAAAATGCAATGTTTGGAAAAAAATCAGAAATCTTTATTAAATTTTGTTTCCTTAAAATGTCACATGAATAATTCTTATTTTAAAAATTAGCATTGTGTTTTTGCTGTTTTACAAGCAAAACAAGAAGAACTACAAGAAAATTTACAAAAAATACATTACAAAGTCTCCTAGGTGCACTGTACGAAAATGATAGAAACAAATTGCTTAAAAATGTTTACATCTTCTCTACATATTTAGAATTACATAGCTGAAACGGGATGGGGAAAAGACTCAGTATACCATGTCTACAGAGCACATTTTCACCCAAAACTGCCAGGGTGTGGTAGTGATATAAAAATCAAGAGACAAGCATCTAAATATTATCACATTATATTGGTTACCCTTGGCCAAATGCACAAGCAGAAATGTGAAGAATCTACCCCAAAACAAAATTAAACGGGCTTGTCTGCGAGAAAAACAAAGTTCTGGAGATAAATTTATCCACTTTGCACATCATTATAGTACAAAAATATGCCTCATGTTAATCAGTGCTAGATAGTAAATCAACAACAAAGCCTTCATGCTCCAATATTAGATCTTTCTTTGTTATTGAGTTCTTATGTGTTTGAGATTTGAACTAAATGACCCTGAAACCTGTCTGAAAGGATTGTTTAGCTGCATTCCTGAGCATTTTAATTCTTCATTTTTAGTAGTTGTTGACATTAATATGTCATTAATATTTAACTTCCAAAATTCTTTAGTGTTGCAACAGTAAAGCACTCAAGCCATCTATTAACATTCATATAAAATATCTTCTGGTGAGGTAAGGCAATCCAGTGCCCACATTTTTGCAATGATTTACTACAGCCAAAAGAAGTTAAAAGACTGGTCATAAGTTGAGAACTAGCTGTATCTATTTTGAGTTGGATGGGCAACTCTATTGGCTTCAAACTTCATGCATTTTCATGTTAATTTTCATGTGAATTATTATTGCAGATGTGTTTTGATAGAAGAATGTATCTTTGCATTTTATAGTCTCATGAAACAATACATGTTGAAAGGAACAATAGAAGTGGCAGGAACAGCTTCTCTTTCAGAAATATTTGGAAGATCAACTGTAGTTTCCACATCTCTAAGCACCCCACTTGTGTCCTGAGGCAGCAACATTTGAAATCTGTTCAAGTAATTATGACAAAGTTTCAGGAGCTCTCCACATCTGCACTGTAGCCAATATGAATTCAAGATGCAGCAAATGCAAACAATTTTATTTATGTAATGCCTAATAAATAGGAATGCATTATCCCAAGCACGAAACTCTTTCTGCTTAAAAAAATTCCTTGGATAGTGCCTTGTAGACAATATAATGATAAAAACCTGACCCTTCTTTGGTGTCATTGTGTAGGCTATATATAACCCCTTAGCTGATGTTTTACTGGATTTGCTCTGAATTTCTCTGTGTCCGCATTATAGTTGCCATCCCAATTGCATCATTACTTCAAGCTCTCTGGTTTCCAAGCTTTTTCAATCTATTTCATGATCGTGGGAGAAGAAGCAAAACAGCAGATATGAGCTTATATAATTTATTCTAAACATTAAATGTTCCCTGTGCCAGTTACTTTACTCCGCATCATCTTAATTTTAGTACATGAGTTGCTAAAGTGAGGATTACAAGATTGCATCCAGTCATTTAAACCTCTTCACATGTTTAAAACTAATCTAGATTCATTTTTGTGTTTGAGTTTTTTAGTCTCTCTTCTTCTTAATCCATTTACCTATTTTCCTATTTTACTTCTCCCCTTGAACTCATTTGTCATGGAAATACATGATAATTTGGTTCCAAACCATAAAAAGGTACACATACACAATATTAGAAAGATTCATTTCTAATATTGTGAATGTATACATTAACTGCATTCAATTTCATCAATCAGCCAATCATTTATTATTATGGTGATTACATTATGGTCTAAAACAGGGGTGTTAAACTCGCGTCATCACAGTGTGATGACAGGGGGGACAGGGACATGATGCATCTGGGCTGCAGGCCGTGAGTTTGCCCCACTAAACAACAAAGGGAAAAAAACCCACTTTATTTGGATACAGAAAAAAATTCAAGCTCTGAATAACTAACCATTAACACAATTTCCAAAGATTAATTTAGTGGGCCTGGCAAACCACAGCAGAAAATTTCACCAGAATTTGACTAAAAGTAGCATTTTACCTGCATCTGGTACAAGAAAAAAATACCAGATCTACATGGACTATTAGTAATAATGGAGTGATATGAATAACGTTGCTATCTCAATAAAATTAGTAAAAAAGAGGAAAGTTAATCAGGATCTCAGCCTTTCTCCTGATATCCCTATGTTTCTCATAGGGATATTATAACATTTACCCCTAAAGCTGTAAAATATTAATAGGAACCAGCATAAATACTTTAAATTGCCTCAAGACATAAGATGAGTAAGATAACTGAATGGTTGGAAAAAGTAAAGGTAATCTGGTAATTCGACAATCCCGTTGACACAATCTGAAATCTTTGCTTAATAATGTTTTGGTTTTTTGAATGACAGAGAAAATAAAGCATTAAAAGAAAATCAGAGTAGTGC